TATGTATCTTTTTTCCATTTGGCCAATTTGGCTTTTCAAGACATTCTTCTATTGGATTGTGTGCCTCTTTTAGCATCTGGCCTATTCTGCTTTTTTTAATGTGTTATTTTCTTCAGTATTTTTTGTGCTTCCTTTACCAATCTGTTGACACATTTTTCTATGATTTTCTTGCATCACTCATTTCTCTTCCCAATTTTTCCTCTATCTCTTACTTGATTTTTAAAATCTTTTTTTAGCTCTTCCATGGTTTGAAACCAAATCATATTTTTCTTTGAAACTTTGGATATATTTTGACTTTGTTGTCTTCTTCTAAGGATGTGTTTTGATCTTCCTTGTCAAGATAGTAACTTAATATGATCAGAATCTTTTTCTATTGTTTGCTCATTTTCCAGCCTATTGCTTGACTTTTAACTCTATGCTAAAATGGGGCTCTGCTTCCCAAGTGGAGGGGGCAATGTCCCAAGCTTCAGGTTTTTGTGCACCTTTTTTTCAGAGGTAATTCTGGAGACCTGTAATTTTTAGGCGTTTCCAAGGTGGTATGATCTAGGGAGGAGTGTGTTTACTACTCTTCTGTACCGTGTACTAGTTTATAATTGACCACAAGCACTCTTTTCAGCTCTGGAACTGTGACCAGGGTCCCTGAGGCCACAAGCTCTGCTGTGCCTGTGCTCCTCCTCACAGTGGGACTAAGACCCAAGATTGTCACCCAGATCCAAGTGTATACAATACAACAGAGTCCAGCCAGCAAAGGGACCCCTATAAATCTCTTTCTGACCTTTTGTCCGATCCCCATACAGTCTGTGGGTGGAGAGGCCTGGAAATTGCCACTGGTACCACTGATTCAGTTACCTAGAGGCCTGCTCCTAATTTGCTGGGGCATGGTCTGCACTGGCATGGCCTGTGCTGGTCTATGCTCCTCTCACCCTAGTTCATTAGACCTTTCCTGCTGACCTTCTAAGTTGTATTGGGCTGGAAAATCGTTTTACTCCATCTTTTCATGGGCTCTACTGATATAGAATGTTTAGAGTCATTATTTAAAGGTATTTGGAGGGGTTTAGGGGAGAACTCAGGTGAGTCCCTGCCTTTACTCTACCATATTGGCTCTGCCTCCACGATTGTGTTTTCTTTAGTAACTCTCACCTCTTCCTCTTAGCTTGCAGGTAAGTCATTAACTCTGCATTAAATAGGGGCATGTACTATGCTGTGGCTAAGGGCATAGCACTAAAATAAAGTTAAAAGCATATGAATCTGCTTGTTCTACCAACAGTTACATTGTTGCTGCTTCTGCAGGTCACTTGGAAATCCAAAGATTGTTGTTCGTGGTGTGAAAATAGTCACCTCTAACCACCCGGGGAAACCCTGTAGCATTGTCCACCTGGGACTAGGATCATAAGTTAGTAGAACTTAGAGGGATCTGCTAATATTGCTCTGAAACTTTAGAGATGAAGAAACTGAGGTCCAGAGAAAAGAAGCTTGTCCAAGGTCAGACAAGTCAGAGAACTAAAAAATACTTTGGAGCTCATGTAGGGCCACACAAATCTGAAGCATCAATCTCCTCTTAAACATCCCTGATATGTGCTCTTGCAGACTCTGCTTGAATAGCTGCAGTAACAGGAACCTCAGTATCTTACAAGGCAGTTCATTCCATTGTCAGCAGACTGCTTTGGTTTATTTGTTTGAAAGAAGTTCTCCCTTACGTCATGCTGAAATGAGCCTCAATATTACTTCCATCCATTGGCAAAATCCATTTTTTGTTCATTCAATAAACATTTTTTGTTATTTGGGCATTTGCCTCATGCATGATATTGTGCTGAGAGATGTGAAGATGCCAGAAACTCTAAGACCATCCTGCTTTTAAGAAGCATCCAGTCTTCTTGTGAAGACAGGACATAGTACCTACACAAACATTGAATTTAGGGTAATAGAAAATATAATATAAGAGTTGTCATAGGGCATTAAGGAGGCAATGTGGCTTGTTCAGGCAGTGTGATATAATGGGAAGATGACTAGTTTGGTATTCTGCGGATTTCAAGCCTCATCCTTCTTCTGAGTTTTTTGTTTGTTTTTTTTTTATACCTGGGGCAAGGTAATGAATATTCCTGAACCCCAGCTTTCTGAGCTATAAAATGAGGAGGTTGGATTAGATGACCTCTGAGGTATTTTTTCTGTTCCTAAATCTTATGTTTTTAAGTATTAAATTGGTCATGTATTCACTAAATGGTCTCCTTTCACCTGAGGAAGTGAGCAGTCAGAAAAGGCTGTAAGACTTCCAGAGGAAGGCAGCCAGGCTGGTGAGGGGACTACAGACCATCCTATACAAGGAAGAGATAAGAATCCAAGGACAGTTAGGCTAGCAAAGAGATGATTTGAAGGAACTATGGGCAACATGACAGATGTCTTCAAGTATTTGAAGGTCTGGTATGTAGAAGAAGCAATAGATTTGTTCTCCTTTGTCCTGTATATCAGAACTGAGACTAATGGGTGGAAACTTGACAAGCATATTTTATATCAATTTAAGAAAATAAAATTTCCTAAAAATTAGAGTGGACCCAAAGTAAAGAAGGCTGACTTGAGAGAAAGTGATTTCAGGGCAGCTAGGTAGCACAGTGGATAGAGCACTGGCCCTGGAATGAGGAGGACCTGAGTTCAAATCCAGCCTCAGACACATAATATTTACTAGCTGTGTGACCCCAGGCAAGTCAATTAACCCCATTGCCCAGCCAGAAAAAAAAAAGAGTGGTTTCCACAGCACTTAAGGTTCTCAAGAAGAGGACTGCCTCTTGTCAGTGAACAAATATTTACTAAGCACCCAGTATACGCTTGGTCCTGTGCTAGGCAGTAGGAATACAATTACGAAGAATGAAACAACCCCTCCTTATAAGGGGTTTCCATTTTAATGGGGAAGACAAATCTACCTCATCAGCAATGCTGTAAAGGGGACTCTTGCTCATGTATTACATGATATCTAACCAATTGTTATATTTGATGAGTCTATGGATGATATAGGCAGCTAAGTAGCTCAGTGGATAGAGCACTGGGCCTGGAGTTGGGAAGAACTGAGTTCAAATTCGGCCTCAAACACTTACTAACTGTGTGACCCTGGACGAGTTATTTAACCTCTGTTATTGGCCCTAATTCACTGGAGAAGGAATGAGCAAACCACTCCAGTATCTTTATCAAGACAACTCATGAACAGTATGGTCCATAGGGTCACAAAGACTTGGACATGACTAAACAACTGAACAACAAAAACAACAATGGATAATATAGCACTTTAGCTAGGTTTTCAAGAACATAGATAAGAGAAGAACTGGTTAGGGAGCTGTAGATAGGGAAACTAGGTTTTGTTTTGTTTTGTTTTGTTTTGTTTTTTAAAGGAAAAATGCTTATTACATGTTCTGGTCATAATGATACTAATCTAATCAGAGTATATTGTTCATGTGGGGGAATAGAGATAGGTAAAGTAGGTTTGAGAAGGGAAGGGCATGGAGCAGGCATTTATTAAATACTTTTATAATAATAATGCCAGGTACTGTGCTAAATGTTTTACAAATATTATCTGATTTGATCCTCACAACCATCCTAGGAGGTAGGTGTTATTATTATCCCCATTTTACAGGTGAGGAAATGGTAGCAGAGTTCAAGTGACTCTCCTCCAGGACCACACAGCTAGTGAGTGTTTGAAGCTGGATGTGAATTCAGGTCTTCCTGACTTCAGGTCCAACCCTCCATCAACCATTATGAAGGGCTTTGAAGGCCAAAATAAAAAGTTAAGACCTAAAAAGTTATTAGGGAGCCCTTGCAAGCTTTTCAACATAGTAGTTTTGTTGTGATGGTGGTTTGTTTTTTGTTTGTTCATTTTTTTCCAGCTTGATTTTAAAAGGCAAAGATCAGAGTAAAATTATATTGACTTGGGGAGTCATTCAGTTTCATTCAACTTAATTTGACCCAAAAAATTGTTAATGTGTAATATGTGCAAGATTCTCAGAATATCTTGACAAAAATCAGAGTCCCTGTGCTCAAAGAGATTACATGCTAATGCGAGTTGCTCTGCAGAAGAAGACATAGTAATCATAAGAGGAGATAGTGTATTAACAATGAGGATCAGAGAAGTCCTCATGTAGTAGGTAACACCTGATCTATATTTAAAAGAAGCTAAAGATCTTAAGAGGTGGAGGTTAGAGGAGATAGATTCCTAGACAGGATAAACCACTTTTGCAAAGAACCAAAGACTGAACGCCATATTTCAGAGGACAGCTAGCAAGCCAGTATCAGTGCAACAGAGCATGTAGGAAGGGAAGAAACATGAAATCAGACTGGGGAGGTAAGTGGGAAGCCAAATGGTGGAGAACTTTAAATGCTGTTGTAAAAAGTCTGCATTTTCTCTTAGAAGCAAAGAAAACAATTACACATTTTTAAGTGTGGGGGGGGCCCGTTACATGATGAAACATGTGCTTTACAATATCAGTTTCCCTGTAAGATTCTGGGTTGGGGGGTTAGAAGCTAGAAACCGGGAGCCTAATGGGAAAACTATTGCAATAGTCCAAGAAAGAGGTAATAAGGGTCTGAATTAGCATAGAAGTTGGGTGAGTGGAGAGAAGAGATAGATTTAAGATATGTTGTAGTTATTAGCTCAGTGAGTATTAGCCACTGATGTGGGGATTGAGGGAGCAAGAAGAGTCAAAGAAGAATCCAAGATTGCAAACCTGAGCAACTAGAAGAAAGGTAGTGCCATTCACATTAATGAGGAACCTTGGGGAAGGTGTGGGTTTCCAGAGAAAGATGATTTATTTTCTGGTCATGAATTTGAGATGCCTATGGGAAATCCAGATGGAACTGTCCAGCAGGCATTCAGTTGATGAGACTGGATTATATGAGAACAATCCAAATTAGATATATAAATTTGGAATAGTCTACAACAGACCTTTTCTCCTTTGCATGTCACCTAGAGTGTAGATGATAAGTAAATCACAGCTAACTCATACCTGGTTTTCTTTTAGGTTTACCCTCTATGCTGTGGATACAAGAGGCCGACACTCAGAGCTGAGCACTGTCACGCTGAGGACAGCTTGCCCTCTGGTAGATGACAACAAAGCTGAAGGTAGGTATTGGGCTGAATGCCTAGTTCCATAAAGATGTATGTACTCTATGACTTCAGTCTTTCCCTCCTCCAAGGGAGTCACTTCATGATCTGAGAAGAGAAAGATGAAAAATGAAAGGCAAGGAAGATTGATGGGGAATCTGGTGCAGTGGTTAGGAGGCTGGACCTAAAGTCAGGAAATCCTGGTTTCTGACACTCATACTGTAGGCAAATCATTCCTTATTTATTACTATTCCTTATTTAATTCTTTGTATTTGTATCTCTAGTACCTAGCACAGGACCAAGCATATAGTGGGTGCCTGGTAAATACTATATAAGCCCTAGTTCCCTCACCTATACAATTAGCATAATAATAACAGCATTACCTATTGATTTTACAGAGTTGTTGTGAGACTCAAATGAGGTATCTTTGATATTTGACAAACAACAACACCTAATCCAGATCTTACTTGGGCAGATCACCCATCTTAAGTAGAGTTGTTTTTCAGTCATGTCTGACTCTTCATGACCTCATTTGGGGTTTTCTTGGCAAAGATACTATAGTAGTTTGCCATTTCACTCTCCAGGTCATCTTACAGATGATGAAACTAAGGCAAAAAGGGTTAAGTGATTTGCTCAGGGTCACATAGCTAGTAAGTATCTGAGGCCAGATTTGAACTCAGGAAAATGAGTCTTCCTGACATCAGGTCTAGTGCTCTTTCCACTGCACCACCTGCCTGCCTCTTAGGTAGATATAGCAAGTTGCTAAACATCTGATGGAACCTAAAATGTTTAGCTACCAACACAGAGTTTTCCAAATATCCAGATGTAACTTCTACATTTAAGCTGGTCACAGTCATAATATAATGGACATTTTGCTCTAGCAAAAGCTTGATTTATTTATTTAAATCCCTTTAGTCACCTAGATTTGTTGGGGCTATGTTCACTGTTTGCTGTCTCTTTGAAAACCTTTCTGTCCAGCTCCACTTCCCACAGTTCCTTTGTAAATATACCTGTTTTGCCTTCTTTTCAGAGATAGCCGACAAAATCTACAACCTCTACAATGGCTATACCAGTGGCAAAGAGCAACAGACAGCTTACAACACCTTGATGGAAGTGTCAGCCTCTATGCTTTTCCGTGTCCAACATCACTACAATTCTCACTATGAGAAGTTCGGGGACTTTGTCTGGCGGAGCGAGGATGAGTTGGGACCCAGGTAGGAAGGAGAGACTATCATCTCTGCCTTTTGACACAGGACCCCTCAGCTAAGGGCTGGCAGGACTGTCTGGAAGGAATTTGGGTAGCGTCCTACATTCTCCAATTGCACCTAACTAAAAGTGATTACCTCTCAGTGATTTTAACTAGAAAGAGGAAAGGGCAGGTATATGATCCCATGGTTTGATGGATATGACTGTCAAGATGGGGCATAGTGGACCTCGTTCCTGACCTAGCTACTACATTGCACAGGGGATAGCTCCCATAAATATTGGAGCTTTGGGAACACAGGTTGAGCTGGACAAATAATCTGACTCCCCATCAGCTATCCTTGCACTTCACCTCTATATCTAATGCTGACCCCCAATCCTAACTGAAGTCAGAAAGACTCGTCTTCACGAGTTCAAATCTGGCCTCAGACATTTACTAACTGTGTGACACTGGGCTGGTTACTTAACCCTATTTGCCTCAGTTTCGTCATATGTAAAATGAACTAGGGGAAGGAAATGGCAAACTGTTCTAGTATCTTTGCCAGGAAAACCCCAAATGGGGTCACAAAGAGTCAGACACAACTAAACAACAAATCCTAACTGGCCTGAAGCTCTGGCCTTATGCTTTGGTTTCCTATTTAGCTCCTGAGATTTTGGCTCTCTGAAGACCATCTGGTACCAGTCTAGCTTGGCTTTTAATCTCTATTTCCTCACTGCAGTTTTTCCATTCCCTCATTAGACAATGGCAGTAATTTTTTTCACTGCTAGGGATAAAGTATTCTATAGGAGAAACAATGCCGGATTTGGAGAAAGACAGCTTAGATTTGAATGCTACCTCTGCCACTCATTACTTTGGAGTGACTTTGGGCAAATTCCTTTACCTCTCCAGGCTTAGTTTCCTCATCTGTAAAATGGCAGCTCTTTAAATTCCCTTCTAGTGCTAAATCTCATGAATAGCTGGCACTGGGCATTCTTCCACCTGCATGTCTGCCTAATCATCTAATGTTGTTGGCCCTTCCCTTGGTAAAAAAAAACAAAAAAAACAAAAAAAACCCCAAAAAACAGTAGATAAAGATAAATAGCAAATTCAGGAGTAATCTTCTGTTTACATTTAACATAAGCTCATAACTGGGTATTTGTTGATGTAACAACTTATGGTTTGATTACAGGCTTTTCATGTCCATTAATAAATGAACTAATGTTTGGATCTCACAAGCATATGTGAATTTCATAAGCTTACTCAACACTTTAGAGGTGCTACAAGCTGTGATCAAGACATAGCACTAATGCATAGCTTTGGGAATTGATGTGTAAACAGAAACATAATTCATAAATTTGTCAGTTTAAAAATATTTGTTGACTTGAGTTTGCTGATGATTCCCCACTGCAGATGGTAGAGATAACAAAATACTCTTCAATTACTTGGAATCTTCAAAACAACTTAGAGAAACAGGCCAACATTCACAAATTCACTTTTAAGTTGAGGAAATTCAGTTCAATTCAGTTCAGTTCAATTCAAAACAACCAACATTTATTAAGTATCTACTTATATGCCAAGCACCATGTTAGGCACTGAAAATACAAAAACAAAACAAAATCAATTATGTGTGGGTTGGGGGAAAGAGAGGAAGAAGAGACAAATAAATGCCAATAGGTGAATACAAAATTTATCCAGAGTAAATCCAAAGTAATTGCAGAAAGGTGGACAGACCACTAATTGAAGGAATCGGGAAGAGCCTATGGGTGATACTAATTACTGAGTCACTTGCCCAGAGTTGTTCTAGAAACTAAAGGCATTCGTTTATTAATTTTTTTTTTGGTGAAGGAATTGGGGTTAAGTGACTTGCCTAAGGTCACACAGCTAGTGTCAAGTGTCTAAGGCCAGATTTGAACTCAGGTCCTCCTGACTCTATCCGCTACACCACCTAACTGCCCCTATTAATTTATTTTTTCTAAAACTAAAGTATTTTAAAGATTGAATCTCTTCATCTCATCCAGGTCAGAAGTATAAGGGCTACTCAAAGGCCCATCCTATTACAGATCAGCATGGCAGGTTTGATCTGCTGTTCTTGCCAGGGGCTGGTACCCCTCCCCCATTCCCATCCTGTCCTGAGGGCTCATCATATGAATGCTGAACTTAGCACAGACATCTGACCAGCATAGCCCACAGAACTCCTGAGCTCAACAAATCCACTGGACTCAGCCTACACTGTAGCAGGGATCATAGGCACATGTAACCATTTATCCTTACAGCAACCAATTAAGCACCTACTTCTATGTGCTAAACATTGAGGATAAAAGGATAAATGATATTGTCTCTGCCCTAAAGAATCTTAAAGCATAAAGGTAGGGCCAAGCCACAAAAGTACCCAGAGCCCCAGTCTGTGGCTTAGCCCACCGTATCACCCCGGCTATCAAATTACCACTTATTGAAGTTAATAGTGTTTGGAATGAAGCAGAAGTATACAGTAAGACCTTCACAAATTGTGAGGAAGGTAGCTTTTGTCTTTAGTGTTCCAACTTCTAGGGTTCCCACCTCCAAGCCAGTGATTTCTTGTTCCTTAGGTCTCTTCAATCATGGAAGAGAACATCTGACAAACTCATTCAGTTTGAGTTAGTATACTGTAAATGTAATATGCCTCCCAGAAGGTGTTTGTATTTGAAAGCCAGACTTCAAGGAGAAGACAATGCCTTTCCAGTGCCTAAAACCAAAAGAAGGAAATGCTAATGGTGAAATTTCAGGCATCAGGATCTATTTTGAAACACACACACACACATACACACACACACACACACACAAAGACAGGGGTAGGGAATGGGGAGGTAGGATCCTCAAATCTTGGTTCAGGTGCCTATACACTGTATTATATGAGATACACCCTAAACCTATTAGACAGTTCTGTTCTAAACTCTAGGATCATATGATTTATTGATGGAGAGGATCTTGGAAAACATCTCTCTCCAACTCTCTAATCCTACAAATGAGAAAACTAAGATGCCCAAAGTTAAATGATCTACCCAAGGTCACATTTGTAACAGAGGTAGGATGCTAGACCAGGTGTTGTTTTGCATTCCCTTTAGGACACCTCCATAGAACCTATGAGGATTTGACTCCCTAAAAGGCAAAAACTGGACCTTGGTCTACCATTATAAACCTTTCCTTTCAGTGCCTGTCTTATCAGTATCCGAGTCTTGGATTGTAATTTTTCCCCTCACATGAAAGGGAGGCTCACTGTGATAAAGGCAAGGAGAAAGGCCAACAGACAGATCAGTAGATAAAAAACATTCAAAGTGAATCATCAAATCCACCATCTTAGAAATAGCCAGGGGAAAAAAAAACTATTGCTTTTACTGTGTTTTCCCACATTGTTCATTGGGTGCTCAGCATGAGATTTCCTCAGAGCTAAACCAGGGATCCATTCCTGACTCCAGCTTTACAACTTGTGAGAACAATTTATGACCTTCCAGGACATAAATTTCCGTTTGCTTGGGACTAGCCCTCCCATAGAGGCAGCCCAAGTTGTAGCTGCTTTGATAACTTGTTAACCTCCAACCATTGTGCCAGTGTCTCACTCCCCCACAACATCACTGTGCTTCCTCTATCTTTAAGCATCCTTTGTTGTTGTCCCATGGGCCCTTTGGCTTCTCTTGCATCTTGGTATTTCACTGTCTATCACTGGAGGTTGACATTAGAGATTGGTTTCTGACAATCTCTAAAAAACATTGCAGCGAGAGTAAGGTAGGTTGTGAAAAGGAAATGTCTTCTCAAATAGGATTATAGATTTAGATCTGAAATGACCTTAAAAGGCCCTCTAATCCAATCCCTTCATTTTTACAGATGATAAAACTCAGGTTTAAGTGACTTGCCCAGGTTCATACAGCTAGTGTCAGAGGTCAGATGTGAATCCGACTCTAACTCTCTATCTACAGTGTCACATTAAGCTAAAACATTAGAAAACAGAAAATTAGAGACAAAAGACACCTGAGAACAAAGAATATTAGAACATAACAATAGATCTGGAAGAAACCTTAGGAATCATTTAGTCCAACTCACTCATTTTAGAGATGAAAACACTGAAGCCTAGAAAGGGAAAAGGCATTTGCTTTTCTCACCTAGCCTGGGCTGAGTGTCCTGACTACCAGTCCAGTGCTTTTTCTATTATACTGCAATAGAGACTGATATAAAATCACCTAGGAGATTGGATAGACTCCATTAATCAATAGTTATTGCTAAATATCTCTTATGTGCCAGTGTCTTTTATAGTGAGAATTATGGGGTACATAATAAGATAAATAATAATAAAGTCACATATCTATAGCCCTTAGAGCAGCTAGCTGGAGTAGTAGATAGAATGCTGGACCAGGAGTCAGGAAGACCTGGGTTCAAATTCAGTCTCAGATACTTCTTACCTGTGTGACCCTGGGAAAATAATTTAATAGTTTGGCTCACTTTCCTCATCTGTAAAATGGGCTGAAGAAGGAAATGGCAACCACTCCAGTATCTTTTCTAAGTCTCTGCCCATAAAGAAAGAGTCACAAAGAGTTGGACATGAATGAAAATGATGAAATAACACTAAATAGCACTTACTTATTTATAAAGTACTTTCTTCAAGTCCTTTGAGGTCAGTGGTAGAAGTACTGTTGTCCACATTTTATAGATGGGGAAAATGAGGCTAAGTCAACATTCATTTATTAAGTACCTACTATGTGCCAAGCACTCTACTATATACCAAAGATACAAAGAAAAGCAAAAGACAGTCCCTATACTCCCAAGAGCTCTCAGCCTAATGAGGGAGAAATGTTAAATGACTTGCCCAGCATCACTAACTGATAAGTTACAGAGGTGGGGCACAAATCTAGGTCTCCTGACTTTCAAGTCCATGCATTTTGTATTCAAGGTGCTCCCAGTTTGGCCACAAACACATCTTAAATATTTGGTGATTCTTACACTATCCTAAAATATCTGATTCAAACCAAGTATATTTCTTTCATCCCCAACCCTACCCTCTCC